CGTTTCTGCCTTCTCTGCAGGAGGGAGAGAGCTGGGGTAGAGGGTACCGGGAGATGGGGTCCCCGGCACCCTGCCGGTCCTCCGCCTGGCACGCTGGCCCTTGCGGCTGACCTGGGCACCCTGGCTCCCCATTGTACCGGGGGCGCTGGGCTGGGATCTGAAGGCTGAGTGAGGAGCAGGAAATGCGGGTGATGCTTCGGGTGCCAGGGTTGGGGCCAGAGCACCCGCCACTCTCCCGCCCTCTAGGTGTGGTTGGACATGCCTGGGGCTCAGGTCTTTCCCAGCCCAGCTGGCCGGGCAGTGCAGGACGGCGCCGCGGCGGTGAGAGGGTTAAACGGAAGGGGGTGGAGGGGAGGACCCGGACCCCGCCTCTCTGCGGAGCATCCTTTGGGGATGGCTTTGCTTGGGGTTGGGACTCCGAGGTGAGCTGGAGGGGATGCTGGGCTCGGGCTGGCGGGAAGGGGTTAAGACCCTGTCCGGGGGTCTCCGCGCTCCTGCTCCCTGAGCCCCCTGGGAGATGCCAGGCGCGTTGGCTCTTCGCTCCCCCAGGCTCACACACGCTCGCGGAGCCCGCCTGAAGGACGGCCCCGCCGGCTGCGGAGCGGAGCATCCCCGCACCGGCCAATCAGGCGCGCGCAGGCCAGGAGGCGGTGAGATCATCTCTGGCCAATAGCAGAACGCCGAGCGCAGGGATGCTGCATTCGCACTCCAGCACCCCCAACTCTAGGGAGCTGGGGGCCCCCAGGTCGATGTGAGATCAAGGCACAGGGACCCTAGGATTCCTCACCCTCAGGTGTGTGGGAGGACCAAGTTGGTCCCCCCAGACTCTCCGTGACCAGTGATTAAGCTGGAAAAGGGGAGCCCAGTCTCCCAGCCCCCTTTAACGGATGAGTCTTCTCAGTCCCAGAGAGGGCAAGTGACTGGCTCAAGGTCACACAGTGGCAGCCTTGGGGCGGGTTCTTCAACATCCAGCCTCCACCCTCCTTTGCCCGCGTCCCTCGGGCTCCAGCTGAAACTGGGGGAAGGTCTCAATTGCATGCCCTCTGTCAAGGAGGACGCCAGAAGGCTGAGATTTTGGGTCCCTTTTTCCCTGTGACGCCCACTCTTCCCTTCCCAGGGTTTGATGTGATATAAGGAAAGAGGACTAGGCTGGTGTGAGCACCGCAGAGTGAGAGGGAGAGAGAACAGGGACCCCCAGAAGTAGGGGACCCCTTGGAGAAGTGTAGGTGTCTGAGAAGGCCGGGATCCTATTTCAGCCCTGGGCCTCTCTGCCCTTCGGGAGTGTCGGTTTCTACCACGGCTGGAGGATGTGCAGAATTCCCACCCCCAGGCCTTTCTCCTGAGCACCTGTGCAAACCACCCACTCCCACCATCTGTCCCCAGAGTCCTGCAGGTTCCTCAAGGTCCAAATTTTCATGGGTCCACCGCCAAGCTGCTCCTGCCCCAGCCTTGCCCACTCAGCCTGTCCCATCATCCTTCTAGGATCTGGGCCGGGAGTCCTCTCTGACCCCTCCGCCCTGCTCCCCCGCATGAATCAATGGCCATCTAAACTCCCCTTCCCCCACTCCTTCTCCCCACACCTTATCTGCCCTGCCACTGCCTAGAAAACCCTAGACTGCTCTCCCCAAGTGGTCTAAACCTGCTCCAACACTTCCAAACCCTTCCATGGCTGTGCTGTGGCCTCCGGCTAATCCCCAGCTCGCTAAGACACCTGCCACACCTGCCCCTGCCCCCACAGCCCCTTGGAAGCTTCTCATTCATCTCCCCTCCCTCCCCTTGGCTCTGCCCATAGGGCCCTGACTTTGCTGCTCTCTGTCCAGAAGCTCTTCCCTGCCCACCTGTCCACCTGCCCTCTCCACCCTGGTGCTTTTGCTTGGCTCACCCAGTCCTTCTTCAGACCTCAGCAGAAATGTCACCTTTTCTGGGAAGTGATCCCTAACTCTGCCCCCTGACTAGTTTGGTGGTGCACCATCTCTGTCTGTGCATCTCGGGACATTCGGGAGACCGGGAATTGATTGTCAGTGTTTGCAAGGCCTCCCCCAGGGCAGGGGCCACCTTGGGTCCTCACCCCTGGGACAGGACCAGGATAAGGACTTAGTCAATGTTGAATGGAGTCAGGAGATTCTAGATATCTCTGACACTGGGAATCATGGTGTCTTGGGAGCAATGCAGACTGGGGTAAACCCAGGCAGTATGGGAGCAGAGGAGTAAGGGATGTAGTCATAGAATTAGGAGGCAAAATCTGTGGATGGTCTGAGGAGGCAGGGAGCGAACCGGAGGACCCTTGGACTCTGGGGAGCGAGGGACCCCAGGGAGAGACTCACCTGGGATGAAGGCCCTTTACTGCCCTCCCTCATTGATCTTGCCTTCTGGCCAGTGCTGGGGTCTGTCTGTCTTGGAGTAGCCATCTTTGGGGCCTGGAGTTGGGGGAAGGAGAGGAAGAACCGTCCTATGTCCTTGCAGTGATGAGGATGTCTGTGTGCTAGTAGTACTCTGGAGTGCCGTCTCTTTTCATCCTCACAGTGAGGTGAGGCAGGTTCTGTCACTGTACCCATTTTAATGAGGAAGAAATTGAGGCCCAGAGAGCTCACATGGCACAGCCAGGATTGGACTGGGCTCTGGTGGGCGTACACCTGGCATTAGGGGCTTCCCTTCCTCTGCCCTTAGGGCCCCTGAGATCCATCAGCCTCCAACTTCAGGCCACAGTGATCAAGAAACCAGGAGGTTCTGGGCCAGGTGGGAGGGTGGAGTACTGGGCATTATCTCCTTCGGGGGCCTTGGGCTTCCCTGCTGGGCCATGGCCTCCTCATCTGGTGAGGCTTGCTGGGGATTTCAAGGGAGAAATGGCTTTGGAAATTGTAAGGGGAAATGCAGATGTCTGTGTGGGGTCCCCGTGTCCCTGTTTATAGTCTCTTCCCCACCCTTGCATTGTAGAATGCGCCATCCCAGAATGTATCCTTGTCCAACCAGCTCTGTGGTTTTTGCTCATAGCTTTTCCTGCAGTTACCTGCTGCCCTACCTCCAAGATTCACCTGTAGAAATCCCCCTCCAACACTTCAAGATCAGTTTGGTGCCGTTGGTGCATAATGAGTGTTTTCTTACTGCCCTCTCCTCCAGGAAGGCTTCCCAGATGCCTCTGCCTTGCCCAGGCTTAATCCTGCTTGTAGAAGCCACCTGGCTCTTTGCCGCTGTCCAGCGCTATGGTGCTGACCGCCCTCTACTCAGAGGCTCCCATTGCTTTTGCCTCTCCTCAGCCTAGGCACTGCCTTGAGGGCCAGGCTTGGTTTATGTGTCACCGCATCCACCTCTGGCATATAGCACAGGGCCTGGAATGCAGTTGGCATTGTTTGGTTGAAGGAATTGAGATTTCTTTACTCTTTCTGGGACCCAAGGTAAAGGACCTTTCTGGCACCTGTGCCTTAGTGTTCCCAGAGTCCCAGGATAGGAGGAGTTCATCCATGGTAGAATGAAGCTGGGAGGGAAGGAAGAAGGGGGCCTTAAGTTGGATGCCAACTCTTGCTGTCTCCTACTCAGTTCTCCAAGGAGAAGTACATCCTGGACTCATCGCCAGAGAAACTCCACAAGGAATTGGAGGAGGAGCTCAAACTCAGTAGCACGGATCTCCGCAGCCATGCCTGGTACCATGGCCGCATCCCCCGAGAGGTGAGCAGGCCCCCAGCTGGAACTTCAACCCCGGACCCTCCCACCCACTGCCTTGGGCAGCCCCAGCCCTGGTTGCAGCCACCTGGGACGCTCTGTCCTATTGCTTGATGGGTTCAATCGGAATGGACTGGGATGAGGTCTAGCTCTGCCCTTTACTGACTGTGACCTTGAAGAAGTTGCTTCACCTCTCCGAGCCTCAGTATCTACTGCAAAGGGTTCTTGTGAAAATTAAATGAAATAATGCAGGTAAAATGTTTAACATGATGCTTGACACCATGAATGTTGGCCTTTGTTCTTATTATTGTTACTGTTATTGTCTGGTCTGTATATCTGCCTTTTGTATGCTTGCTTAGTGAGTACCAATCTTTGGGCTACTTAGTTTTGGCAAAGTTGAGTTTCTTGGCTGAGGTGACTTTATAAGCCACAGACTTAAGTTTATAGATCACTTGTTCCTTCTTTCATTCATGCTATAATCTTTGTCAAACACCAACTTTGCCAGGACCTGTGCTAAGCACCAAGGCTGCAGAGGTAGAAGAGGTGGTGGCTTCTTTTGATGGCTAATGGCCCAGGGTAGGGGGCTGACAGTCAGAGCCTAGTGGAAGAAGTGCAAGAATAGAGTGCCTGGTATGAATATGGGCAAGTCCTGAGGAGGGGACACTGAGGATGGAGGCCTTTGTGAGATAGATAGGAGTTCGCCAGGTGGGGCCAGGTGTGATGGCTCACGCCTGTAATCTCAGCACTTTAGGAGGCTGAGGCGGGCAGATCACCTGAGGTCAGGAGTTTGAGACCAGCCTGGCCCACATGGTGAAACCTTGTCGCTACTAAAAATATGAAAATTAGCCAGGTGTGGTGGCACGCACCTGTAAGCCAGCTACTCAGGAGGCTGAGGCAAGAGAATCACTTGAACCTGGGAGGCGGAGGTTGCAGTGAGTGGAGATTGTGCCACTACACTGCAGCATGGGTGACAGAGTGAGACTCTATCTCAATAACAATAATAAGGCTGGGTGTGGTGGCTCACGCCTGTAATCCCAGCACTTTGGGAGGCCAAGGCGGGTGGATCACAAGGTCAGGAGATTGAGACCATCCTGGCTAACACAGTGAAACCCCATCTCTACTAAAAAT